TTCTAGTTTCTTTACACAAAAGCAGAAACTAAGCAGAAGCAAAAAAAACCCAGCTTTTTTTTGTTCTTCATGTGGAATTTCTTCTTGTGTTAAACCATCATCATGATGTGTTTGTTCTTTACCTGCAGTGATGTAAACCTCTGACACACTAACATGCAGAGGACTCGGACGCACTCAGACACAGCCCAGCTGTTGTCGCTGGCACCGTTTCATCTGCGTTTGCCCTGAAAGTTAACAGCAGACACTCGACATGAGACGTCATCGCCCTCGGCCCCTCTGCCTTCACATGACAAAAGATCTTTCAATCTCAGCTACGGAGGCTTAATTGAGTTTGATAACCTCGGTGTCACGGTTTTGTATCCAGCCACTCTTCTTTCACYGCAGCCACAAAATGAATTTCAAAACGTTTCAGCACAGGATTTCAAAGCCTTTGCCTTTCAGCAGATGAATCAGTCAGTAAATGCTGCACAAACACAAACTTTATGCTGAAAGATGAGTGCAGCATCATTAGAACAAACCTGGAGCTTCATTAAAAGTCAAAAACAAATTAARGGAAGCCTGTCTTACTTTTGACTTGAGCAGAAATGGACAAAACCTGCAACAAGAGACAAAGGTAATAAAAAGACCCAATCAGACACCTGCTACTTTTCACCTTTGATTAAAACTCAATAAGATTATAACAAGAGATCATTATAAATGAAGGGCAAGCATTTATTAAAAGAATGCATATCACCCGCCGCCCAGTTTTAAACTGAAAGTCTCTTATGTTGGGAAATGACAGAGTAGCTGATTTAGTTAACCTCTGAAAATAAAATACATATAAATACATGATATATAAAATGTATGATGTGTTTTTACATATTGTATCTAAAAATAAATATCTGTAAAACTGACTAAATTTGTGTTTCCTAAGATCAGTTGGCTGTGGCGGCCATCTGTGGGGTTATTTGAAAAGTTGACTGTTTGTAGATGTCCATTCTACAAAGGAGTCTTTKGGCCACATTACAAGATCTGTCTTTGTTATTACAAGAAYRACATCATCATATACAAGAATAAAATAGGTAAAAACTGATTTATCACRTCTAGGCTGGATTACTGTAATTCTTYATTATCTGCGTCCAAAAAACTCTTTAAGAAGTCTTCAGTTAATCCAAGAGTTTTAATGAGAGTTTGAAGGAGAGATCATATTTCTCCAGTTTTAGCTTCTCTCCACTGGCTCCCTGTCAAATTTAGAATAGAATTTAAAATATTTCTCCTAACATACAAAGCTCTTAACAACCAAGCTYCATCATATATTAAACATCTTATTGTTCCATACTTTCCTAACAGCACTTCACTCTCAGACTGCAGGTTTACTTGTGGTTCCTGGAGTTTCTAAAAGTAGAATGGGAGGCAGAGCTTTCAGTTATCAAGCTCCTCTCTTGTGGAACCAACTTCAGTTTCTGTCCATGAGGCTGACACTCTGTCTACCTTTAAGATTAGACTGAAGGCTTTCCTTTTTGATAAATCCTATAGTTAGACTTAGGTTTCCTGAATTATTCTTCATTTCTGCTGCTATAGACTTAGACTGCTGGAGCACAAACTGAGCACATTTCCTCACTCTGCTGTCATCTATATTCTTCTCTACATGTTTATTGTAATTATTTATTTCAATAACGTTTCCCTTTTTCTCTCTTCCAGAAGCAAATACACCTGGACCAGTCCTGGACCAGTTCTTCTGTGTTTACCTGTGTCTCTTTCCTGTCTCCCAACCAGCCGGTCGAGGCAGATGGCCACCTGTCCTGAGTCTGGTTCTGATTCTGCTGGAGGTTTCTTCCTGTTCAAAGGGAGTTTTTCCTCTCCACTGTCACCAATGTGCTGCTCAGGATGAGAGACTGTGATGAARTGAAGATTCAATCTGCTGGCTTCTTTAGATTTATTGTTTTTGTGTACAGTGCCCTGAGATGACTTTTGTTGTGACTTGGTGCTACATAAATGAATTGAAATACGAGAATAAAGTTATAATATTACTAGTTTAAAGTCATAATATCACAAGAATAACATCATTATATTACTAGAAGTCATATAATTATGAGAAAAAGGTAAAATTCCAAGAATAAAGTCATAATATTAGGAAAACCCCTAAACAAGAAGCAGTCGTCCCCCTGTTTTAAAATGAGAAATGTTGAGCATCTTGTGAAGTTATACTTAATGTCAGTTAAAATAAATATTTAATCTTTTAGCACATTAGCATCAACTTATCAATAATAATAATAATAATAATAATAATAATAAATTTTATTCAAGGTGCCTTTCAGAAAACCCAAGGTCTGAAAACATTGACTCCAAATAGGTAAAAGGACAAAGATCAATCACTCTCAACATGTTTCGAGGATCAGTCTCAGTAACTACCATCTTAAATTTTAAGTCAAAATCTGAGTTTTTCTGTTTTTTTAAATTCTGTTTTCTGTGGCAGCCATCTTGAATGGAACATGCACTCGTGCAAAAAATGTTACCGTCTTCTTTCTGCTTATGGGTGTCAGAGGAAAACAGGATGTTACGTGAACATGTTTATTTTATCAGYAGTATTGCACCACTCTGTGCTGATGTCCAGGAAGGAGCCACAGCCTCTCACAGCTGGGTGCAACATTCCAGGTGTTACTGACTTATTTACTCCTCTGGTGGGGTCAGGTTTAAAGCTGCTTTGTTCAAGATAAACTCTATCACTGTTCTTTAAAAAAATTAAAAAAAGGTTTAATTTGCATCAGCTGGATCCACAGAAATCTGGTTTATCTACTCTCATTGCAGCATATGGATAAACGTTTAATGCTTACATTCAAATTATGCAGAGAAATGTCAGAAGAGTCAACAGAGTACAGCTCATTTTGGATGATGGAAAGATTKATGTCAGTGCTCACTGTGGAAAAGGAGACTTTTAAATAACTAATATTAAACWTGAAACAACAAAACTGAAAGTTTTGAATGGTTTTGACAAATAATCCCAACAATTAATTATTGTTTTCAGTATTCAAACACATTTATTTATCACCTGCTGCTGAAAGGTGAAGGCAGATGATAATTACTATCTGTTAGTAAAATATCTCGTTGACCACTGGCAGATTTAGATGAATCTTGCAGAAAGTAACTGGATGTCCATCTGCTTCAAATTATCTTTTGGTATCAAACAAATTCAAGATGGTTGCCACAGCTAATCAACGTTAGCCAGCACAGAAATAACTGTAACTCAGTCAGGTGTATGGGTTTTGACCTAAAAGTTGATGTGGTGGTAGCTGAGAGTCATTTACAACACATACTCTAAACGTGAYGTTTGCTAAGGTGTGTTTTTGAAGTTATTCTTTAGATTTGTCAAAATTAGCTACAAATCCATCATAAAAACTCTGGCATGAAAGGCAATGGGCGATATGCATTCCTGTTATGTGTTTCATGTGGAGTGTCTTATAAGCCCATGAGGGCTGGGTGCCAGAAGGTGCATGACACTTGAAATCAATCAATCAATCAATCAATCAATCACTCACTGATCCATGGACACCAGTCTGCTGGTGTACCTGCTGTCACCTGCTCTGACCCACCTCAGAGGTGGTTCAGGATCAGAGAAACATTTCTCAGAGCCTGAACCATACAGGTGTGCTGCTGGAACACCTGCTGGTAATAAGTGACTCCAGTAAAACCAGGAGCTCCGTGTCATACGTGGGACAGAAGTCCACCTGCAGGGCTCAGCTGGTCTGATTTAAAGGAACATTCTTCTCTTTGAAGGCTGTAATATCTGCTGAAGGAACACTTCTTCAGCTCCTCTGCTCTTGTTGGAGCAACAACGTGTTTTACCTGCCTCTGCTGAAGCTCAGCTAGCAGCTCATTGGTCCGTCTGACCATACCTCAGCCTGAAACCAGGACAGACAGGGACCAACCAGGACCAACAGGGACCAACCAGGACCGACAGAGGCCAACCAGGACCAACAGGGACCAACCAGGACCGACAGAGACCAACCAGGACCGACAGAGACCAACCAGGACCGACAGAGACCAACCAGGACCGACAGGGACCAACCAGGACCGACAGGGACCAACCAGGACCGACAGGGACCAACCAGGACCGACAGGGACCAACCAAGACCGACAGGGACCAACCAGGACAG